CTGTATGGGCGTCTCTTTAGCTGGATAGTCAATCGCATCAATACTTTACTGAAGCCTGACAAACATTTAAGGTAAAAGGAAACATTTCCAGAATTAAAAGGTATTTTCTGTGGGAATTACATATTACACGAGAGCATGAATTTTATTTAATTAAACTCCTCTGGTTTTCTCTGATAACATTCTCTTTTTTTTTCTGTTTTTCTTTTTCTCTGATATTTTTTCATTTTGACACCACCATTTAAAAAAGAAGTTTTTGTCTTGTTCATAGTATCCAGTGAAATTACAGTAGATGTTGATAGTACAGACATTTGCTATTTTTCTATGTGTTATTTACCTGGTTAGTCCGTTGTAAACTATATGTAACTGTTGAAATTACATATTAACTCTTTTTCCTTTTCCTCTTTCTATTTACTTCTAGTACTCATGGTCAACTCTTTACATTCATCTTTTGGTTATACAGGTTGAATTATGCTCTCGATTACAACTTTGTTGTTGCTTGTGCAGCTGTTGTTATGAAGTAAATATATGAAAACTGCTTCTAAACATATTTTCTGAGGCTAATGCCCACCCTGCACTTAAACACAGAGGGAAAAAATAGAGAAAGAAATACATGAACACCTGGGCTACAAGTTTTGTAGGTCCAAGTCCTCTCTGACTGCTAATAGAGCTATTTTCAATTGAATACTCACAGTGTTGGTGAGGAAGAGAAAAGTTCAACCTGACAGTCTCACTGTACAAAAAATGAGAAGTCTGACTTGTTTTTTTTTTTGTGGGAATAAAACATTTTAAAGCAGTTTATATTTTTAACATTTTTTTTTGTCACAAAATGTAATTTCCATATAAATACTTCGGCCTCTACAAAGTAAAGCATATTTTTCAAACTGACTTTTCAGAGGCTCAAGTGCCTCTTGAAATATATGCCTAATGTCTTATACTTCTTATGAAAAAATCAGTGTGTAGAGATAGCTCAAATGAGGTTTGTGGGTAGAAAGTTGGGGAGTTGTGGGGTTTTTTTTTAATTTCATTAATGTTAATGCCAGCCTCAGTTAGAAAAATGTGTCTTTGTGCTATTTTTTGTTTCAGCCAATAAGTAAACTATTAGTATTTTTTTCAAGTTGCAGAAATGATCACACAGCTCTCAAAATTCCTGAAGCTAAAATTTCAAGCTTAGTTTTTTGCTGGTAGTATTTTTTTTTGAATTTGACTAGTAGTGTAAATCCTACCATACTCCAGTACTTAAAGTTCTATGTTCATTCTCAGAATGTAATGTTCAAATAAACCATTTTAACTAACTGTTGCAGGGAAATAATATAAAGGAATAATGTTTAACCTCAGCAATCCTAATTGAAGGTACAATTGAGTAAAGCCTGTTTTATTACAAGACAACAAAAAGAACTGTATATTGTTCCTGAACTGTAGTCAGCTTTTTCCAACAGATTAATGACTAATACATATTAGTTTAAAAAGAAAATTGGAAATTCTCTATGATTGTCAGTTGACTTTGTCCTTATATGATTCGGTCTATCTGGTCTACAAATACAGTCATGTTTGAATTTATGTACAGTTACTGTACTTCAAATAAAAAATGATTGTCATTTTAAAAGAAATCTGGTTTAGCAAAATTCATTCTACTTAATTGCTTTATGGGCTTGGCCTACTACTTGCTCTATTGAAATAATAATGGAGCTAGTCGGTATAATATAGTTGAGATACAACAATAAAAGGTCTATTTAATCTTTGCAGTGGGAATGACGATGGTTTGAACATTGGAATTCTTGATATCTTTGGCTTTGAGAATTTCAAAAAAAATTCTTTTGAACAACTCTGTATCAACATTGCCAATGAACAGATTCAGTTCTACTTCAATCAACATGTCTTTGCTTGGGAACAGGTATGTTTTGAAAATTTTTATGAAGGTTAGTATCGCTGAACATTAAAAAATAAATAAATAAAAACTTGTCTCAAGAAACTACACTGTTCTTTCTCCATTGAAAATGGTAAACTGTAGCTTACAACAAATGATTTCTGAGAAAATATTAGGTGAAGTACTGCTGGATTGTTATTTCATGTAAAATGCCCACCTAAAATGTATTAAATTTGAAATATACAGTATCTAGGCAACAGAATACAGTAGTAATCAGTCTGATAAAAATGCAGTGTTGTTTTCTTGAAGAATAACAAGTGAGGCAAAGTATGCTTCTGCAATAAAAAAATATAAATGAATGGTAACATAATTTGTCAAGTATGGCATTCATAATAGCTTACTAATAAGCATAATGAAAACTGAAAATTCTCTGTTAAAAAATGGAAATCTTACTTATTTTGTTCTTATTCAGGAACTTGACCATCTAAGCTAAATAATGATGAATTTAATCTAAATAGTCGCATGTATACCAGAGAAAAGGACTAGAATTATAATTATAAAAGTTAATGAAATTCAAAGGGACAGTGAAAAACCTCAAAGAGTGATCATCTAAACTTTGCAAAGAGTTCCATAAAAAATACATTAATCATCTTTAAATTATCATCCAATAGTGTTACTTGAAAAAATAACGTCTGTGGAAAAACAAATAAAAAAGAAATTTACTGAAAATAGAAATATTTCAGAATGCTGTACGACCAGGACATCAACATTCAAATTTTCTCTGCTTTCTTGAAATTATTATTTTTTGAGTACCATGGACCAAAATCTTTCTAAATACTATTTTTAATTTTTAGTAGGAAAAATGTATTTAGTCAGTTTTAATCACTACTTGTTTTAATGATGAAACAGATACAAGTTTGGAATGTGTCGGTATGTAACTGTACACATGCACATATTAGTCTCGAGTTGTGAAATGGAAAATACTATTAAATGGTCAGCATATTTTATTATTCCCAATTATTTCAGGAAATGCTGTCTTACAGTCCTTGGTCTTGCAGTTGATTTTTGCAGATTCAAGGTGGAGATTTCTCAGTCACAAATCCTTCTTTTTCCTTAATACTATCATAAGAGTAAGAGAGAAATTAGCTTCCACTGCTGTAATTACTTAGGTGTCTTTTTTTCCTAAGTACATAAATTCACATAAAAAGGGCATTTGCCTATTTTTCTTCCATACTTTCTTTATGTCTCTGTAATTTTCAAACAAGGTTACTGATCTTTGTATCTTATACCTCCCTTGGAATATATGATCCTTATGACTTCAGCCAGTTTCTTTGGTGGACTAGTAGGAAAAGGAAAGACATTTGCCCTCTGGGCTTCATGTAAACATCGCATTCCCTAATTTTATTGTCGTGAACCATGTGCTTCATTCAAATCATAGACCATAATTCTAAGACTTGTTCTTAAACTGCTCATTCTTCTGATGTTTGTACACACATTCACATTCATATTTCATTCATACCAATTTTTCTATTCCTTTAGCCAATATTCTTGTAGCCATATCAATTACAACGGTATACATCCTGTCTATAATACCCAAGATGCCTGTTTTTAATTTATATGACACCACTACACCAGATTTTATCAAACTTCTTTATATTATCTTGTAGCACTCTTTGAAGATAGTACTACAGCAGTTTAAAATGAGCAATCTGGATTAAGTTCGTGCAAGTGTTGGTGTAAATTCGCACTGTTTCCGTACTAGGAAAGGACAAATGTATTCTTCATTACAACCCAAAGGCACAGGATGATTTGCAATATGATTTGTAGTCATTATAGGACATCACTTTTCCCTTGTCTGGAATATTTTGTTCCAGATTTAAGTCCTAAAAAGGATCTTTGAGGAAGGAGATAGTATCACCATCTTGTGTATTCATTGCAAGGATTTTTAAAATAAGCGCTAAGAGCATATTTTAATTATTAATATAGATCCTCCCTGCAGGCAAATAAAATACAGCTATTTGCATAAAATATAAAATACCATTCTAAATTTTATGTGCATGGGAAAAAAAAAAGAAATACAGTTTTTTAATGGTTGAAATTAAAAGTTCAGGAGCTCGTTATTCTTGTTCGTATTTATATCTATTATTTAAAAATCAACCAATAGGGCACCCTCAGTCTCACCAGGGACTGCCAGACTTTACGCTCACACAGGAGTTTGTAGCTTTCGTACTGAGAGATAGGAGTTAGATTAGAAGTCTGATGTCAGCAGTCACTCAGTAGCCTCTGCACTGACTTTTCATTAGTCCAAGCTGACTGTCATACAGATAATGTCATAGACATGTCTGATTCCTCAGTGCTATCTCAGGAATCTTAAACATGACACTGCATTGCACCCTGCAGATCTGCCCAAGGAAGTTCAGGACAAAGTGTTCTTCAGATTGAGATTTTTTTTTTCTTTCTCAAAAGAGAAGAAGTAAAACTTTTAAATGCATTATTTGTTCTTTCTCTGTTTCCTTTAATTCAATGCCATACAGCATCAATGTAGATAAAAGTTGACATACCACTAGTGAGTCAAGGCTAAAGTCAGTTGATCATAGTCTAGTTTTCAATTAACCCATGTCAATCTAATATATAGTAACTATAGAACAAAGGGAAGCAAATCGTTTTTTGGCAACTTGACCCAGGGAGACAAATTAAGTGAATTCATAAGTGTTTTATGTCTCACATTTTTGCAAATGGCTTTGCCAATGGCACTGCCTGGTAAGTAGTGGATATGTCAGCGTCTTCCTTCCACTGGTTTGTTCCAAAACTGTTTATAGTATCCAGTTCTTATCTCAAGCGGTTTTGAAGGTCAGCATCAATACATACACTTGAGTTTAAGGTTCTCTTCCTGGATATGTTAGGAACTCATAGCAAAGCAAAAGAAGGTCTTGCAGATTTCCTGCTAGTAAGAGAGCCCATTTCTTAATCGTTGGAGACTCTGTCCATTTCCTAGGGTTTTTGAAGGAAGAATGTGCAAATTGGAATAATTGCTATTAAAAGGAACTTTTTTTCTCTTCAGTTGTAGCTTTTTTAATTCTTTGCAGAAAGTGACTCAGGCTCGCTCATGGACAATGCAGTTACACTTGCAGCTCAGTTCAGTATCAGAAAGCGTAGGAGCAGAGGAAAAAGCAAAAAACATTCACAGCTTTGCTTTCCTGGGGAGTTTTGCTTTCCTGAGCTAAAAATATAGCCTCAGAAGCGATGGGGATAATAGATTAGGGAAGCAGCCAGTGATCCAAAGTTTTGGTGTTTAGAGCATTCCCTAAGCAGCCCCTTTTAAGAGCTATATTACCACTTAAAGCTGCTCTTTAAATGGGAAAATTGCAAAGAGCGCTCCCTCAGTATCCATCAGGAATGAGCACCCTGGGCATAGCTGCCTTAACAGAATTAATAATGTATTGAAGTGAACAGATATAGTGGCTCAATAAATGATGCTCATACCAAAAATACGATGTACGGTACCATTCCCTCTTTCTGTATTTTTCAAAGGCAAGGCAGGATAAAATGTACTAATCTAAGGTGTTAAGTGATGCCAGCAACTCATGAATTAGACTAGAGGCTTGGATGTGTCGTTACAGTCGCTGGTTTCACTCTGGCACAGCTGTAGATAATTCTGTCTCCTCTCTTGTACAAGTGAAATCAAATGTAACCAGCTAGCCCAGGTGGAAGGGGAGTGATGGAGGACCTGCTGTCTCCCATGTTGCACTTACTATGTAAACCTGTGGCACTCGCAGACTTTTTTAGAATTTTTAAAAATGAAAAAGAACAAAAGTCCATTTTTTCCTACCACCCCGAGCCAGCCATAGGTTGTGCTGCAAATCTCTATATGCAGACAGACGAGCACATCATCTCACGCAAAAGGCTCTAGAGCCCTTCCTGTGTTCGTGGTATGATAAAGAATCAAACATACTTCTTTTTGTTTCCTAAATAAATTTAAAAAAAAAAACAGTATTCCTTGTTGAAATAAAATGTTTGGTGTTTTTATGTCCTGTATGCTATGCAGTGTCTTACAAGACACTATGCAAAAATGCTGGATAAAAACTGAGGACAGGTCTTACCTCTGAGCTTCTCAACCTGATCTCTAACATGGACATACTAATTCTGAACAAACTTTTTAATGTACTTTTAGATCCACTGATCTAAGAAAAAGTGCCATTGTTACTCATGTTATCATCTGCGTTATTAGTCTTTGTTGCACTGATGCAGTAAATGAGAGAACTGTAATATATGGAGAAAATAGCATCTGGTTTCCCTAAGGAAGAGTTTGTTTTTCTTCTTTAGGTAGCCGTAGGTCTTTGATTATCAGACAGCCAGGGTGAGAAATGCTTTTTGTTTCTCCTTTTGTTTCCTACCAACTAATGCTGAAAATGGTCTACCGGGAATGATGTTCACAAGAATTGTTCACTATTCAAAAATCCTTTATATGAATGTTATTCATAGCATTCACTGCCTCTATTGTACTCTTAATGTGGTTGTTCTGGGTTTTAATTGTCTTTTCAAAGTTAGTGATATATACAATATGTGCCAAAAATGTGGAGAACAGACAGAAAAATAGGTTCACATAGGGAGCCTTCTGGTTGTTGTAATAAGGTTTCATGAGGAATATAATTACTTTCCCCTTCATGCATATACTTCTTTAGTCAAAAAATATATATGGCCCAGAGCTGTATTTGCAGAATGAATACAAGACAATAGATGGTGTTTTGACATTACAGAGAATACTCAGGGCTATACTTTGAAATTTCTTCTTGCTGAAAATACAGAGTATATTCTTTTTTCTTTTAAATGATATTAAAAGTCAGTGTTTGTGCAAATGGTATCACTGTTCGCTATCACTAAACCTATGGTGTGGTTTTGTTCCTGAGCGGGCTGCTTTTTAGCACTGGTCAATCTAGGATACATAGCATCAGATATGCAGTATTTTACATGTTGAGGTTAGGGAGATAACCTACCCGTAGGCATTCAGCCATACCTGTGGGGATATATTCCAGCTGACAGTATTCATGTGGTCTGCTTCTGCACAAGGCTAATTTTGTAGTGATAACTGGAAAGACTGTTCCTGTTTTGTAATGAGAAATAAGAATCTGGAATTAAATTCATCCTTTGGGTGACTATGTAGATTAAAATGTGATACAATACTTAATTTGACCATTTTACAATGAAATCTGGTAATTTTTCTGAATCTAGACGGGTTATATCTAAATCTTGTAAGAATTACATCATATAATTTGCTTGAATCAAATAAAACATTTTAATCTTGTAATGGATTTTCCCACACCACGCAAATTTTAAAGGACCAAGAGGAGGCAGGACAATTCATTCAGCACCACTGTCCTTTGAGCCAGTATTTTTTAAGTTTAGAGTCCAAAATTAACAAAGCATACAAGCTCCAGCTACCAATTTGGCTCATAATTTTGGTTTCATAAACAAAAGTTGGAGCTAAAACACTCTTTTGGATCTCAGCCTGGCCCAATGTTTCAACAATTACTGTGTTGCCACAGCTATTGTAGGCTGCTTTGTCATACACAGAGGTTGAGGGTGTCTAGAGCTTCCATGGGCATAGTCTGCATGTGGCATGAGGCTCATGGTGCTTGTTAGAGCAGACAGGAGGGCCAAGGTAGTGAATGAAGTCTTAACTACTTTAGATTCCATATAGCCAGTGGAAACAAGAAGACACATTTCTCTCTTCATGGACTGTCAATCACTTCTTTCCTGTGTCTGTAGTTAAATGAAGTGAATGCTGGGACAAGCTTTTGTTAGGTTAACATAAAGCAAAGCACAACTTTAGCAGCATTCAGTCCTGTCCCCAGAGGAAGCGTTCTGCTTATATGTAAGGCAGTGCTGTAAATTAATTCTCTGCCAACTCCATAATCTGCAAGTAGCAGGGTCCACATAGTCAGCATTTCTATTTCTCTTCTGTAGTTCTGCCATTACAAGTTAAAAATGTGGTGTAAATATCAAAGATACTGAGATTGGAAACTGGTATTTTTGTTGTTAGTGTCGGAAGGTTGCTACTTTGGGGGTTAAATACTTGCAATGTCTATTTTACATTCATCTTGACAACTTAATCTTCTACTTAAAGCTGAAAAAGGTTACTTCTGAGTAAGTCTCCAGAGCTTCCATTTAAAGTAGAGAGGCATCATACCACATTCCCAGCAAAATGCCATTACTTTTTTTAGTAAGCATGAAGATAATTTCCTAATGCTTTTAATAATTCTTTGTTAGTAAGTGAAAGCAGTTTGCACAAGCAATTTTGATCAGCAAAAGACACCGTGTGATACTGAGATGAGATGAGTGCCCAAATTTCAGTACTCAGTCATTTCTTTTGACATCTGCCCAAATATCAGTACTCAGTCATTTCTTTTGACATCCCAACTATAGGAACACTCTCTTGTAGATTATGTTTTAGAATTTCAATGAGCCACTGTTAGTTTAAGGAGCTTTCTTGTCATAAAACGTCACTGGGGATTACAGCATCCTATAGCTGATTCAGTTTATTAATTCAAATAAGATCTATTTCATTACAGTTTCATGATGTGCATCATGAAGGTTTCTCTTCTTACTTCATAATGCAATGATTGGAGACCAGCATTGCATAAGAGTATGTAACATGGTATCTTTTTTTTTCTGAGTCATCCATCATTGTGGTGTCTGGAAGGCTTGGTTATCAGCCCTCCTCCAGGAGCCCGCAGCCAGTGATGAAATGAACCCCTTCCCTATCCTGCCAGGCACATGTTAGCATTGCAGGGACTGTCAGCACTGACATGCCGTTTAGTGGCCCTGATCCTGGTCACCAAAGACTGAATGGTCACATAGCTTCAGGGCTGGAAGGTCAGGCCCTGCGTGCTGGCAGCATAGGGAAGGGCAGCATGCATCACTGTTGCGGTGCAGCTACAGGAGAGCTCGTCTTTCAGTGTGCTTAGCCTGCTTTTCTCACAAGCATTTACAGTTTGAAGAAATTAATCGCTTGATGTGTTGTCTGTGAGAGCTTGTTTGAGCATGAAAACACTCACTGCTTTCTGATATGTCTTTTCCTACTCCTAAGTGTCCTCGATAATCTTAAGCCGTAACAGCTGGCTTCATGAATGAAACATCTGTGTGTCAGTAGAGTTAGAGCCCTCAGCAAAGCTGCCCCTCTGGTATTATCTTTGGGAGATAACACAGACTCATTCCCTTCCTGCCACCAGCTCCTACAGATACATAATTAGCTTCTTGCCTATATCAGTGGTGCATTTATTGCTCTCTTGTCTTGCCCTGCTATTCAGGTCATTGATTATAGTTAAAAGCAAAACTGCACCTGTCCACTGCTCCAGGGGAGACATAGGTAGACATTTTGTGTGCCTGAGATGGGAGCCTCTATGGGATTGTAAGAAAAATTCTTACCGCTTACTCCATGTATACGCACATAGACTAAGTCATAGTCTATCCATAGAGTTGAGAGTGGCTTGAAAAATTATGTAAATCTGGATAGTGGAAAGGTTTAGGTATATATTTTGTGTTCTTTTTCAAATGGATGAGCAATATATTTATTTGGCCCTCTATTTCCAGGAAAAATGTTATGGTGTTTTTCTTATGATTTTTGGCTTTCTTTAGCTTAAAAATCTAAGAATATGTGCTTTTCTGTTGTATGCAATTAACTGCTTTCCCAAACACACACTTTCTTGCTTTCATCACTCGTCCATGACTTTCATTCAGATTCAAGTGATGCATACGGAGAAGTCTTCCTGAGTTAGAGGTCTTTGAACTTATATTAGCTATCAAACGTATTTATGAGTCTCTATTAACAGTGAATTTAGGGTGATACAAGTGTGATGTAACATCATATATTAATACAACACTCTTATGAGTAGAAAAATATAAAAGAGTTTATCCTTTGGAAGGAAGATGCAGGGAGCAGCCTGCACAGGACTAAAGGCAGCTGTGGAATATATGGGAGCACTGGGCAGTGGGTAACTGCTATTGCCTTACATAACCCAGGCAAAAATCACGGAGAGGTTGCAGCCCTTATATCCTACTTCTCTTGTTAAATCCGCACTTGCCTCTGCCTTGCTGAAGGATTAAAGAAAGTCATTTTCATATTCCTCTTTTTTTCTTTTTTTTTTAATTCTGGTATATTCATTCAAAGCATCTTTACCAAATACACCACAAGAAGAACTTACATATCCAAAGGCAAATTAAAATGTGTAGTTCAGCACTGTGATACATTCAAACTAACATTTGTTCTTGCAAAACTGTGATGTTTTTAGCCTCTTAGCATAGTTTCTTTAATATAGCTTTAATTTTGTACAGTTGACAGTTTGTGAAGTGGTTCTTTGTACGTGTGCCCTTTGTTAATTTGTTTGTTACAGAATGAATATCTATATGAAGGTGTTGATGCCAGAGTTATAGAATATGAGGACAACAGGCCCCTCTTAGATATGTTCCTGCAGAAACCTATGGGTTTATTGTCCCTACTAGATGAGGAAAGTCGATTCCCACAAGCAACAGATCAGACGCTTGTAGGTAAGTATATAATTTCGTTCATAACACTACAGAATGTCTTGATTTCTGGTTTAATGAATTCAGTTTAGGGTATATGCTAGTTGTGATTTCAGTGAGCCTATATTGCAGCTTCACAATACATTTCAGGGAGGAATGGTTATGTTCTTGTAGCTGATACAAGAAACATGCACATACAAGAATACAAATGAACTCAGCTGCTGATCCAGCTTTTGAACTGTCTTACCCGCAGGAATTTTTAGCTGCAAGGCTTGAAAAACAGGGATCAAACTGAGTTAAAGTTCTGGGTGCATATGCCAGCAACATTGCTTTCAAAGCTGAATTATGTTCAGCTGCAATATTTTTGTTGGACCTTCTAAGCAAGACTTTAGGGACTCTGTAAAGGTAATGACTATGAACCTGAACTCAGTGCCTTTCAGCAAATCATGTTTCTCTGTTTTTCTACACATAAAGTAAAACTAGAACACCTAAATATGTTATAATTTAAATCCTGAATATTTAATTGCTGCTGAGGTAGTCTCAGTTACAGCTGATTTAATTATTTTAATAGGATTTCTCTGTGGAAGAATCCTTTTTTACTTATTTTGAAATGTGCAAAGTGATAAATTAGGATTTTAAGCAACATGCAGTCACAAAGCAAATAACAGTGACAGTAAGAAAGTTCTTTATGTCCATGCTACAGCAGTTATATGAGTTTGTTGTCTGCGGAGCCTCATATTATGTAGGCTCTGAAACTGATCACCTCAACCAATAACAAAATATTTTCTTACAATTGCCAAGTTTGATAGGAAGGGTTACTTCCATGATTTATACGTGAAGACCAAAAGTTTAGAAAAGCAGATGATTTTTAAGATAACTCATTAAAAAAAAAAAAAGTTACTGATTCAAGAGCATCTTTATTCCCCATATTGTGCCTTTTATTTCAAGACCATCATGGTACCTTTCTTCTAAAAACCATCAGAGTCTGTTTTGTGGTACTGCATTTGTATGAGAAACCAGGTAATATTCTTAGAGGGATTCAGTTTCAGAGCACAATTATATAGAGTGATGCCAGTAAGATGAACTATATTTTTCCTTTCAGAAAAATTTGAAGATAATTTGAAGTCAAAATATTTTTGGAGACCCAAAAGGGTAGATCTAACCTTTGGGATTTATCATTATGCAGGAAAGGTAAGAGACCCGGTAATATTTGTTGAGGTTTGTGCAATCATAGGGCTGGAAGGGAATGCAAGAGGTCAGTTACTGCAGGGTTGGTTCCCAGTGTTCGTCTATTCAGATCTGACATGAAAAGTTTGACAGTGCCACGCACCTCAAAAGTAAATTGAAAAGTTGTTTTCTCTCACACAAAAAAAGTAATGGAGCATGTATTTTTTTAAATGTCACCTTGTAAATAAACTGACTGTATTGCCATAGAACCAAAAACAATGATTATATAATGCATCCTGTGCCCCTCCGCCTAGTTCCATAAAGCCTTGTGCCAGGTGGCCACTGCTCCAAACCAGACCTATTCTTCCTGTCTTTTACCACAAGCCTAACCTCCTGCCATAGCTCTCAGCTCATTTCCTTGTCACCTTGTCTTCTTCTTTTAGTCAGCAGCCTTGCCCTACTGTACTGGGTATTTTGCCTTCACAAACTCAGGAGGATGTAGCAGCTGCTGTTGCATTAAGGCAAGATCCTGCTACTCAGCTGTGTCCTGTTTCTGACTTGTGGAAACAGGAGTTCCCAGCATCTTTGGATCTTTTTGAAGGAGTATGGAGTGGGCATTGCTGTTTCACACAGGAAACTAAGTTGTGCCTGTGCGGTTCTGCAGCAGCTGGTCTGGAAAGGGGCAAGATGCCACCTGTCTGTGATGGATGGTAACTTGCCCCTGTACAAGAGAGTCAGCTATGGAAGTGCTAATTCCTCAGAACCTCATCTCCAACTGATTACATTTCACAAATGTGGGCATGTCTCACTGCTGAGAAGCAAGCAGCCAGCTCTGCCTTCTTGGTATCAACCTCTGTATCATATGAAATCTTCTGCTGTAATTAATACAGAGATCTCTAGGAAGAGATAGTAAGTCCTGTGCCTATTACAGCACAGTCCAAATGGGCCAAAAAAACTTCACAATCACATGGGTAATCCTGTGTGATATAGCTGAAAGTAAGTACATTGTTAATTGTGCATTAACACCTGTATTGGTGTAGTGGGGTACTGTAGCACCCTTCTTCTTGTGATAAATGTACCCCAGCTAAAGGTATTGTTAACAGATCTGCACTAGTTTTTCCCTGATGTTTCAAGCTACTTTAGGGTAATAAATTTGTTCTTAGTGATCTGCATCATAATGGGTCTTAGTATGAAAAAGTTAAAACTTTTGGTGACCAAAAAAAAAGACAGAAAGCTGGAGTAAGCCTCATGGCTGAAAAAGAAAAAAAATGTCTTTTGATATATTACAAGCCAGAGTGCTTAAATCTACAGTTACATTTCAAAAGCCCAGAAGATGACTAATTGCACTTTTTAAACAGGTTCTATACAATGCGAGTGGATTCCTAGCCAAAAACAGAGATACTCTGCCAGCTGATATTGTGCTGCTACTCCGATCATCTGAAAACAATCTGATACGACAGTTAGTAACCCATCCTCTTACAAAAACAGGTATTGCTGTTGTGGTAATCCTTCTGTTCTCCTCCTCTAGCCTTTGTGCTGACCACTGCTGGATTTCATATGACCATTTATTGATGATATTATACACTTTGTGGCTTAACTTTCCAACCCTAGAATCTATACAGAATGGAGCCCCTGCCACCTCAAGCTGCAGGGGAGGGATTGGTGTGATCAAGTGCAAAGGAAGTGGTAGAGGCTCCTTTCAGGGTCCCCTCTTCAGGTTAGGGGAACGGGACAGGGACTGGAGTGCATCACTTGAGCTGAGGACTGAGCAAAAAGTTTCAGGTAAGACACTGACTCTTTTTGGATGGGACATATGCAAGTTGCCTGTTTTGTTTCAGTGCAGTTTTTCTCTGTAGTAGGAGAGTATCAAGGCTGGAGCACCTAACATATAATGGATAGAGCAAGGACCCTTTTTGTTTTTTTGTTTGCTATTCTCACAGTTCTATACAGCAGGAAAATGATGGGATCCTAGTAGTGAGCTGGGCCCGAGTTTGGAATGGAGGACTTAAGTTTTTCCCTTCCTCAGATTCTTAAGGGGAGAGAAAGAAAGTGACTGGTTCTACTGAAATTATTCTTAACTAAAGTTGTGCCTTTGTTGAGTCAGGTTCCTTGCAGTTTCCTATCTGCCTTTTTAGGTCGGTGGGTAAATCTGCTTATAATGAGAAAATCTAGGTGGCAGACATGGTTTGTGTCATCTCTTGAAATTCTGCCACCATTTGTTTCCTCTCTTGGAATTCTACCTCAGGCTAATTAGTTCCCTAGTAACTAAGTAGTACAGTAGCACAGTGTAGCTGAAACACTACTGTAAGACTGTCCATTCTGATTAATAGTTGGTATGCCTCCCTTGGACAATTTTGATCCATAATAGCTAGGATTCTCCCAGAAGTGCCTAGGTGCATTTCGGGAGAGAATGGTTTCCATTGACCTGTGTGGAAAACATCTAGACATCACTATTTTTACTGGGAGATTAAAAGAGGTGGAAAATACAAAATTTAGCTGTATGGACTTGAGTCACGGTAGGCTGCTTACCCTCAGGGCCAGAGAAGGGTGCTAGCTCATTTTATTAGCTAATATGTGTGTAGCCATAGAGATTGATTACCATTTATACTATTTTATAGTAATTTATACCATTTATAAATGGAATTAGTAAAGAAAGACTTAAAAGTGGAAGCAATTTTAATTTGTCCTCATTTTAAGCCATAATTTCTAACTAGTCTAGTACAATGCCATTTAGAGTATGAATGCTATAAGATACATCTTTTTTAATTTTTGCGGAGGTGTACTTATTTATTTTTTTGCTTTAGGATATGACATAAGTGGTGAAGGAGAAAAATACAGCCCATGTTTCATCTTCATGGAACTTCTTCAGAGCTCATTCCATCCCAAGGGTGAAAGGGGAAATAAGGACACACCCAGGAAAAGCCAGCAACCTTTATAGACAAATGGTTCCACTGGGGGCTTGAATAATGTGGTTCTGTATAGTATAAATGAGATCTAAGCATTTTGGTAGGTTGCTTTCTTTCATCTCTTGCAGGTAACCTGGCTCACACTAAAAGCAAAACTACTATCAGTTACCAAATGTGGACCCCCCAGAAATCAATCAGTCGTACTAAGGTAAGAAAATTGATTTCATGCTTCTGCGTTGAACCCTAATTTATACTAGAAAGGCAATACTGTTATTGCTACTAAAAGTAAGCAAGTAACCCCTTCCTTGGTTTTTCTCCCTCTCCTATTTTCTCTTCTGTTTAGCTGGATATCTTTGTGTTGTGCAATTCATATTCCTTCCGCGAGGTAAAAAATTAACATTTCCCTTCTTTCTGGCTGTAGTTTTATAACAATGTCAGAAAAAAAAATCCTAATGGTATTGTGGTAGAAAAAAGAGAGATTATAATATTGGTGTGAAGTACAATCATGTTCCATAGAGAACTACCAAAATAACAGTGGTGCTGAAATTACAGACAGGACCTCAGACATTGCCTCAGGCCATGCCAGGTTATTTGTGGCTGCTATGTAGATGTTCAGTTATCGAATTGTGTCCTGTGTGTGGGTGTTTGCATATTGTGTAGCAAAGTAATGCACTGTACTGGCGTAACAATTTTGTGCTAGTGATCATGCAGTGACTTTGCAGTTTAGAGTACTTTTTTTTTTAATTAATGGTGTTTTCTAAGGGGATTTTTTTTCTGTGATGTTGGAAAGGGCACTTCAGCCTCAGTAGAAATAAGAGATGTCATTTTCTTTCTTGATCTGTATAGAATGAAACTGGAGATACCGGACATCATCCAAGAGAGACAACCAGTATGAAAACACAGACAGTCGCTTCTTATTTTAGAGTAAGTTATCAGGTTTTTTTTTTCTAGAGAAGAATGAATTCCTTCACCTTTAAAACCTACCTGTCCTTCTGTTCGGGCACTTACGCTCAACAGAAATCCATTTAGAGTTTGCGAACTGCATTTATGATACAACAGTCCATGTAATAGATCTAGAGGAAACTGTTTTGCTCCACTAGAGTCTGTTACGCAATGACATTTCTCTGATGGTGGTGCAGAATGGTCAATACTACCCTTCACTTTTATGTACTTGCTTTTCCCAAAGGGAGATAAAGAGAGGTAGGATATTGGTGGTGTGGCATTTCTTTAAGAGTTCTGGAAGCAAGAAACCAAAGTATATTTAGAACAGGAGCTCCATAAGGAAGGTGGTCCCCAATCTAGAGGCTGTTCTGAGTCAATCCCTATGGCTCTTCTTCAGCGGTCCTCTTTGCTTTCCCTAGCACTGGCTGTGTGCTTGGTCCTGCCTTACAAAATAGCTGTGAAGAACATTCTTCTCTCTGCAGTGAGGCAGAGAGTTGCTTAATGCAGCTCAATTCTGAATTTCCAACTCTCATTGACCCCTATCTTCCAATTCAGACAATGTCTTTGCTTCAGAACAAATATATCACCAGATGCTCCAAGTGAGCTTAATTTTATTTTCACTTTCTAGCTATTATTTTATGTGATGGAAACCCCTGTCCAGATCCCTTTAGCTAATGTTCTTAATGAAGGATTCACCCTCAACCTCACTGGTTCACTCATATGCAGAAATCTATGGGTGACTGAGAAAAGCATTTGCTACTGCAGACCAGGTGGTTAAAAAATGGATCCGTTATCCTGTCCTGCTTGTGTTCCATTGCCACAGCAGTGAAAGAACTAATTAAACACTTTGCTGCATGCTGCAGCGTCTGTCCATAATGGAATTGCACATTTTAATAGGAAACATATGGCCCCTGACGTTCTACACTAGCTTCATGTGTCTAGCCTACTGCTGAACTGCATTACCTCCTGGCTGCTTCTTTGTGTTGAGTCAGGTTGAATCTTGAGGAATGAGTCTCTTCTTTTGTATTTTAATAAGATCCTTCCACAAAGCAATTTTACAAAACATGTCAAGATTACTTGTAACCAAATTCACCTCAGTTGTTATGGAGTTACAAATTTGCTTCTGCTAGTCTGGTACCCTGGTGAGGTAGGAAAAATGCAGCTTTTGAATTGTGATGTTGTGTATTTCAAGTTTGTCCTCTTTGAAGGTTTTCTCCTGGCAAGGCAGCTCTAGTATCACCATCAGCCTATATAATGTACAGGATTTCCTGAACCAAAGCAGTTTGAGCAGACCCTCTTCTGGGTTGACTTTGCTTTTCTGCAGGCTAGGATGATAATATTTACTGCCTTATTGCTCTTCAAGTTCCCATCCTTAGACTGATGATTTACTCTCTTGATGAATGGGGCAAATATGTGACAGCAGAAGGGAAAAAAAAAAAAAAACAGAAGCAAAAATTGTAAGGAGAATTTTGGTCTCATGTTAATCCAGCTGATACAGCTGGGAAAAAATGGAGAACTTTCAGGGACATGGTCCTTTCATCAGATCTGACTGCATTTGACAGTAACACTGTTACTAACACAGTTGAGTCACTTATGCACACTCCAATCCAGATGTGATTGCATAAAACACTTATTGCTTCCCAGTCTTCAGTATTGGGCATAAAATGTGTATTCATGTATGTGTGTGTTTTCAGCAACAGGAGAATGAGGGGTATGTTGTCTAAAATATTCCTCATTTAACCCTTCCGATTTCTGCATTGGAACTAAGAATGCACCATGCTTCCAGCTGCTAAATGTACTACTTGTTATGAACCAGTGTGGCAGACCCAGCGTAGCAGCTGATGTTAAGCTAGGTAATCATCAAGGGAACTTTTAAAAAATAGATCGTTTTTTAAAGCTGTACAAAAAGATAATGCTGCTTCCAAATCAAAGCCGGTGTTCAATAATTGTCAGTACTCTAATATTTTGTAAATTATTAGAGGTTGTGAGATGTACTGGGTGGAATTTGGTCCCCAATCCATCTAGTCCAGTCAGTGTTTCTCTCAAGTAGTATGTACGCTGTTACATAGATACCAGATCACAGCTATAATTGCTGTTGGGCCATTTACTTCCTTCACTGTTGAAGTATCACCCCAACTGAAGTGCAAATGGGTACAAGGTTCTGCTCATGTTAAATAAAACTTCAGATACATGTGGACTTACATGCATGCTTTATAAATATCCAGGTGGCAAATATTTTATGACTTTCTTTCAGTACTCTCTGATGGACTTGTTATCCAAAATGGTCGTGGGCCAGCCTCATTTCGTCAGGTGCATCAAGCCAAACAACGACAGGCAGGCAAACAAGTTTGATAAAGAAAAAGTGTTGGTTCAGCTGCGTTACACAGGAATTCTGGAGACAGCAAGAATTCGAAGACAGGGTTATTCACATCGTATACTCTTTGCCAACTTTATAAAACGGTACGTTGGTGCCTCTTCTCTGTTTTCTTTGTTGCTCAGTGTTTGCAGAGCACCAGCATTGCCTTTGGGATAATATCTAAAGAAAAAAATACAAAAACATTTTCTGTGGCAAACATTACAAATGAATGAGGAAGAGAAAGTAGTTCAGGCACGGGATTAGTGACCCCTTTTGAACTGATGGGGAAAGATGAGGCATCTCAGGATGATCGTTTCAGGCTCCCTGTGCATTTGGGTAAGAATTGCCTCGTTTAGAAATGGGGGATAGAAATGCAACGCTACAAATTAAAGCAAATAATTTGGAGCAAGAGCCTCCAAGGAGCACCACAATTAATCTAGCACTGTTCAGCACAGTGCAGCATCTGGTTCTCCAGGGGCAGATGATAATTTAGGCTAATTGCTAATTTAAGGCTGAGAAGTTCATTAAGAGCATAGTTCTGTTTAAAATATAATTTCTAAATATTAGTCATTTCTTAAGAAGAGTAATAAACTTGCTATGATGTTATAACCTCTTTAACTACCTCTTCCTCTTTCACCTCCAAAAATTAGTATTGATCACTTAAACTGTATTTCTCTTTTACAAACAAAACTCAACATTTGTCTGTAGCAGAACTTTGAGTTATGGAACAGAAATCAAAATTGGGAAGAAGTGGCATCCATTCAGACAAAAGCTCTTAAAAGTAGTGGTGCATGGGAAACAGGGAGCTAGCAGCCCAGTGCTCTGGATGGGGAAGGAAGGGAAGAAAAGTGGTAGCTTTATGGCAATATGTCTGGAAAGAGAGCTGATGGAACTATTACAATTTCAGAAAAATGCTTCAAGGGAAAATACAGCTATCAGTTATCAGGATGTGTTCTGGCTTTTGGTTGCTGCTTTCTATCAAAATTTGTAATGTTCAGGTAAAAGAGAGGAACATAATGGGGAAGCTCTGTAGAGAGTGTGCCCCCGACTGCCCTGAGCCTGTGCAGATCTCCAACACTGAGAATATGACGCCCACACAAAAAGGAGTCTTAGTTAATACCCATATTCCTGTCTTTTTTTGTCCTTTTATTTTTTTTAATAATTGAAAATTATAAGTAGACCTGGAATAATGGCAGATTTGTTTTGTTAGAATGAAAATATGACAATACATTGTGTAGTTAAAAAAAAAATGTAGCTGCAGGACTTGGAAATGATAAAGCAGGAATTAGCATTGTCTATCTTCTTATTAGCTTATAAGGAAATTTGCTCTCATTTAATGTCTGTAGCATCCCAGCTTTGTGTATGTAGGCTGAGTAAATAAATAAATTAAAAAAAAAAAAAAGAATACAGTATCACGAAGTACCTGTAATGGTATTTATGTAATTTTGCTGAGTAAAAAAAAAAAGAAAAAAAAGGGGGTAAGTAGGATCAATTTTAGAAAGTCCTGGAATGCACAAGAACTGTCCTACCCACTAGCTGTGTTGGGATGTTATGGGTGATTTTTATGTATCACAGAACATATATGAATTCAGTGAGCATACCCATTTTCTGTCTCATCATGGTTGCGAATATACCTGTTCATGCATTGTTTCTGTGGAAACTGAATCCTACTGTTGCCATCAATACTCTCCTTTTTGACCTAACTGATTTTCCAAAGTCTGTATGTGCATCTTGACCTATTTTTCCAGTTAAAGTTAGTTCTGAGAAATTGCTCTGCTAAATTAAATGCTTACATATTATGACATAACTGCTCATATGTTCCAAACTTACAAAGCTGACTCCAAGGAGGTAGCAGAAGTTTGGCTACATCTCACTGCTAGTAGCAATCAAAAGCATAGACGGGTTTAGCACAAGGCAGATGTGAAATAAGCTAATTTAAGCTAAAAATCCTCAGAAATACTTTTCTTTTGTCACTGAAATCACTTTCACGGTATGCAGAGTTAGAGCAGCAAACTGGCAAACTACCCTACTTGGGCTACCCCCTTTTTAAAAAGCATTCCAGTGTTGCATGCCCACCACAGTGTGCAAAGTAACGCTCACCCACTTTCAACCAAATGTCTTAGTACAGTATATAAATCACAGCAAGGTTTTTAGGATGTGGTTTTACTCTTTTTAGTGCTGTTTTCTTTCATGCAACTGTTATACTTATTTAAATCATTTGTTTAAATACATTTGTATCTATTGCTTAAGAGGAATCCTGTGTTTGCCTCTAGGTATTACCTTATCTGCTACAAAACAAATGATGATCCTCCAGTCAGCCCGGAAACCTGTGCTGCCATCTTGGAAAAAGCTCACCTTGACAACTGGGTGCTTGGAAAAACTAAAGTAATTCCTTTTATCCTGTAACTATATTATTGTACTATGTGACTGTTAATTTACAGGGCTTGTTCTGTTTCTTCAACCATTTGATTGGGATAGCCCTTGGTCTGTACTGGTTAGAAAAAAAAAAAGATAAACACACATTTTGCTGAGTAGTTAACTGATATATTAACGAACAACACCTTATGTAATTGGCACCTTATAAACTGGAATGTAGGGAAGTTGAAGATTCCAGATTTGGATCACTCTTATGTAACATACATCAGATTTGGGAAGTTAGCAAAATTGTGAACCTCTTAGTCCTTCAAATTGACTTATAGCCTCAAGTTGTCTTTCAGTGAAAGCATGAATAAGCAGGGACCGGTAAAGGATGTCAGAAGGCAGAATAAGATAAAATAGGACCACAAACAATCCAATTGCTTTTATCTTTAACAAAAATGATCATTTAGATAATACTACAAAAGGATGTCTTCTTCATTTGAAACCAAAATATAATTCTTGTTGATATTAAATGGACTGAGGAAATCCAGGGACTGGGAGAGAAAGTGTGTCTAAGCCACATTAACCAAAACTACTACCTCTCTGCTTACTCTTTTTCAGGTATTCCTCAAATACTACCACGTGGAACAGCTGAATTTAATGAGAAAGGAGACAGTGGACATGATTATTTTGATTCAAGCTTATGTTAGAGGATGGCTGGGTTCAAAGAGATACAAAAAGCTGAAGGAACAAAGGGAACAAAGTGCTATTAAAATTCAGTCAGGTAATAGCTTAAAAACATTTTTGCTTAAAGCTAGCATGTATGTGCAGTTAATAGATGTGTATACTGGATGGGGATTTTGCTGTTCTCCTGCCGTTACATTTGACAGAGCATCTTATTTGATCATATCTGTTCTTAGGAAGAGAAATTTTTGTTAACCAGGTTATGACAGTCTCTTTATGTAAGTTCTGTTTGTCAGTTTTGCATTTAGAAGGCAACATTAACAATGGAGGAAAGTGATTGCATAAATGATACTCTTCTTAGTGCTATCTGGCATGCTCTGACAAGATTGCATAATAACAATGAAAACATAATGTAATAACTATCCTAGGTAGTAAGACCAATTATGCTGTTGATGGAGACATCATTAATTGAAATTTTTAATATGTTTCAAGCATTGTTTTATTGTGTGTTTAGATACTCTCTTGTTTTGGATTCATTTAATTCATAACCCTGCTCACCAGAAAATGTAGTTTTTACTTATTTTTATTTTGCTTGTGCTTGTTTGCTGTATCTTTCAAAAGATAAAGCTAAGGCATTGTTATGAACATTTTAATGTAGGTCTGTATTTCCTTCCAGTGTCTTTTTATTTTTATATCCTTTTGTATAACCTAATGGATTTTTTTCTATCTTTTTTCAGCTTACAGGGGGTTTGTTGCTCGTAAAGAATATGCAAATGCAAAAATAAATCAGAAACTGGAAACATGTATTACAAGACTTCAAGCAAGTAAGAATTGTTTGCTTTCTTGTGCTATGCACCATACATGGACCTAGATTCTTTGCTATTAACTAGCTACACTGATAGACTATGTTCGTTTATACCTACCTAAGTATAATTTATCTATTATATGTTCATATGCAGTGGTAGAACTGGGTCAGTGTATTCCATGTCCTAATCCGAATGCCTCCCAATTTTCCGCAGCTGCGAAGTGGGCTGGGATAATTCCACAGCAAGACATTTCACTCCTAGTCCAATGTGTCTAAATATTCTAGCTGGGCCTGCTGAAGTCCGTTCTGTCACTATGTGCATGTAATCGTATGGACATGCTGTTGCACTAAGAATACGTCCATTACATATCAGTAATGGATTTTACATTTAAGATTATTATGTGTAATTACACTCACTTCTCTGACTCTTTTTTGCTACCACTCAGTCCAACCTAGGAAAATATTCCTTCTCTTTTGTGACAATAAACACCTTGAACTCAAGACATACGCTGTATAACATCCATTTTCTTCACTGTCTCCCATTTCACTGTAGCGATAAGTGCCAGAACTAGATCTAGGCTAGCTCTGAAATCAGCAGCACTAATAAGCAAGGACCAGCCTAACATGCATGCCACTTTCAGTTATTACAAAGGTGGCTACTCCAAACACAAGCTGGTGTTGCCCAGGCTGTTACCCAGACTACCTAGATTTAAGCTATCTCAGATATGTCTGCATGGGTAGATATACCCCACTAATGTTGATTTTGATCATTGTTGAGTGTATCCATTAACTGCTCTAAGTCAGTTTTAATGCATACATAAGAACACTTCACTGCAATCAGTAGAACTTTACCAGTGTAAAATCCAATCTAAAACAGAAATTAAATCTAGAAGGATGTCAAAAATGATCAAAGTTCCAGAACTCCTCGATTATACTAGGATATTTAGCAAATACAGAAGTATGAATTTATACTTTGCTCTGTTTGCTCTCTTCCCAATGTATCTTCTATTGTAGTTTCATTTCAATTTTTTTTTGGCGCAAGAGAGGCCAAAAAAGAGTGAAATCCATTTTCACTTAGCCCTCTCAGGCATTTATTTGAAAAACTAATTCAAAAACGCTCTTCAAGTTTGGAAACTATCCTTACACAACTAACAGCTCATAACAGACTTCACCAAACTTCACAGGTGAACTTAAATAAGTTTAAGAAGATCAGACTCTGTTTGTATTAACACATGTATTGACAAGCAACTTGATTTATTTCAAAATAATGCCAGTTGAGTTGCTTTTGTGTGGCAGTGAAATGAGAACTAGCTCAGGAATTCCAATACCTTTGGAAAGATTTTATTTCCACACTTCTCCATCTTTTACAATTTTATAAGGTCCTGTCAGGCTGCAGTATAAAACCCAACTGTGTTGCTTCAAATAAATATCTGGGTTCCTTTTCTCTATAAGCAGTTATCAATCCATAATTTAGATCCCATTCACAAAATGCTTCTTACACTGATCTGCTACACTTAATGGAGGCCAAGTTGGTGTAAATTATAGTGCAAACTATGGGCAAGGAATGAGAGGAATTAAGACACCTCGGTGTGGATGGCTAAAAGTATCTGGGTGCCCCAAAACCTCTTATAGTCAGCAGAGCCTGGCACTTGATTCATTTCACTCTAAAGCACTTAACGCTCAGCTCATTTGCCCGCATACTGATATCTAGTGCTATTTAAGATTGCCTAAATTATCCTGTCTGATCTCCAGTTATGTCCCATATGGGATGCCAACTGTTATCTCTCCATGTCTTGTCCTATCTGCCAGCTCCTTGTGGATGCCTACACTACTCTAGAGCACTTCAGATGGCACTAGATACCCATGTACGGGCAACTAGATCAAGTGGCCAGTCAGCTGAGTCCTCTCTAGGCTCCATTGACCCTAATGGGAGCTTGAAGGTTGAGGACAAGTGTGAACACCTTCATGCACATACCTAAGTTTAGTTATCTTAATCTGGAGCTCAGTTCTACCCCTTAAACTGTCAGATACCAGTGAAGGCACCTACATGTCTAGTGGGAGACCCATGTTCCCAGGCTTTCCTCTTCCTGGTTCAGATCCGAAGCCTGAAGCTGTGCATCCTGCCTTGCCCCAGGGCACCTGGTTACTGTGGGGTAGTAACCCTCTGCTGCCCACTCCTCCTCCCAGACATCTTTCATGCCGGGTTTTTTCATTTTAGGTAAGCAATTGTTGTGGAAGGAGCATAAGCAAGGTCTACTTTAAGAGCTGAACTATAAAATTTTCAGCAACTGCTTAGCTTAAAAAAAATAGTTCTGAGCTTGTGCAAGAATAGTCTGTAACCTGATAATCAGGACATTTCCCAGGGAAATGAAAGCCCTTGAATCAAATCCACTGTCTGAACCAGGCAAAGCAGAGAAGCATGAAGCTGGGAGCACATCGCTCTGGGAGCCTTCCCACAGCATTGTACTTCTGCCTCATTCCGCATCTTCCCTTTTTAGTATCTTTTTTATCTAAAGAAAATAAAGAGCTTGTTTGTATCCTAAAGTAGAACAGCTCCAGTATTCTAAAATCTCAAAAAGGGTGTGTGGGACAGTATAATTTCAACTGAAACATAATAAACATTTCAGTTTGTATTTCCTTATTTCTCCCTTGTATTTTTATTTTTTAATACTAACATTTAATACTGTTATTGTTTAAGATATGTTTGGGATACCCTTTGTTTGTTGCCTAAGGTTCTTTTCTGATTTGTATCAGTTGCCAGAGGATACTTACTGAGGAAGAAGAGAAAAGAACTAACTGAGTCAAGGAACAAAGCAGCAACAACAATTCAGTCTCACTATAGGGGATATAAGGAGAGAAAGGATTTCCAGAAGAGAAGGTAATCATATTTTCTGTCTTTTACATGAGTAAAATATACCTCGTTTCAGTAACTTTGGTGCTCAGAAGCTGCAATGTAATCTAAAAGTGAAGCCATATTGAATTAGTCTAGACATATATGCAGATGTAATGTACATCTACCTAGAGGTTTTTTTTTTTTTTTTTTTTTTTTTTTACTACCACTAGACAATTTTACTTCTACTTGCATATTCAGGAAATAGAGGCATATTTAGGGGAAAGATCAACCATATTATGTTTACCTGTAATGCTAGTATCATCTGTAGTTGGCTCTCTTTTTGGAACTAACTCATCATAGGAAGAATCACATACAAGAAATGAGCATCTGAAGAGGACTGTTCTTCTCTTGTAAGTCACTGTGTAGAAAGAGCATAGCCATCCTCGCTGACAGCAGCAGGAACCTGAATGACTAGCTCTTATCAGGCAGTTAGAAGAAGTTAGGGGAGGTGAATCACATTCTAAATATCTCTGTAACATAGCTCCAGTTTGTGAAATGGAGCTGAGAGCACTTTGCTTGTCTCTGTCTTGTTTTCAGTGATAGCATTTAGGCAGTAGCTGTAAACTCTGGGAACAGTGACCATGTGCATACCTAATCCAAGGAGGTGGAGAACAGCTGTGAAAGAATGTAGTGTCTCAGGAGAGAGAGGAAAGAAAACAGGTGGCAAATTTCACTTGGGACTTAAGTTAGTTTGATAGTGAAAAGATAGAGAAATAAATCCACCAAGATATGAGGCAGTTTTCTTTTGTGACTACATTTAGGGTTTAGTACATTTATGCAGAGCGGAGGTGCTAGAAAATAACTATTTTAAATTTTTGTTGAACTTTCAAATAATTCTTTTCTGTTTTATCACTTGTCCTCATGTAACCTAGATCGCCTAGCCTAGATTGATAATTTTCTATTAGGCGTTTAACAGGGATATCCCTTTTCACTTGCAGCAGTGCTTACTGACAGAAACACATAGATTTGTTTTCTATCTTTAATTCTAACCGCATGCACTAAAATTGTCATTTGGTATACAAATAATACCGAAGGTAGTGGTAAGCTTATCACTATCTTTCAGCTATAATATTTCTTCTAAACTCCATTGCTTTCAGAGAATCACTTAAAAAGACTGAACAAACCAAGAATGCAACTTCTATTAGTGAAAAAAAAGAGAGTATCAAACTTCAAAACAATGAGGAAACAGTAGCTAGAGTGAAGAGCACCTTTCCTCATACTGAAGAAGAGGCAGCTGTTATTGTTCAGAGCAATTACAGAGGCTATAGAGCCCGTAAAATGATAAAGGAACAGCAACAAAAGTTAGCGGAGGAAGAGCTATCTGCTGTGGAATACTTTGAAGCACAAGTGAAGCCAGGTGAAAGCATTACATTGGAAGAAGCAGCAAACAAGGAGAGCCAAGATGAAGCTGATACTGTTATTGATAGCAGGTGTACTGAGTTTAGGGATAGAGGGAACCCAGGGGAACAACCAAAGGCATCTCCTAAAGGGGAGAGAGATTCTCTGAAGCAGAACACACCAAAAGAGCAGATTGGTGAAGATGAAGAACAGTTCTCTTTGAAGCAGTTACCTAAAAAATCTTCTCTCAAGATCACAGCTGACCCTGATCACCAGCAAGAGCAAACTAATCAAGGCACAGTCAAAACAGATGAACAAAATCAAGTATGTGCTGTGGTCCAACCTAAGCCTGACAGCCACCTGGAGAGAAACCATCTGAAACATGAAGTGATGATGTCTGCTGGAAATAAAGGAATTATAAGAAAAGAGTCAATAAGAGGTTCACGGAAGCAAGTTGTAACAGAAAAACAAGATTCAGAAGACAGAGAAAAGGCAGCAGTGGTTATTCAGAGCAATTACCGGGGTTATAGAAGAAGGGGGCAACTCAGAAAAGAGGGAAAATTACCTTGCAAAAATCAAGAGAAAACTATAAAGGAGTCAAGAGAGGCAGCACGCATTCAAAGTAATGATCCCAAAACAACAAAACATAAGGAAAACACTGGTACACAGGCTGAGGACCATAAAACTCTTAAGGAAGACTCAGAGAAAGAGGCTTGTGATTTGGCAGCCTTTTCACGGCAGGTAAGAAGCTTATAAGCTAAATATGTGAACCAGAATACACTGAGTGATGAGAGAATGGTAAAGATGTTTTACTTGCTTCAGTGAAAACCATTTTTTTCTCCTTAAACTGAGACGGAGATTCTCTATCCCCATGTTGTATATAAATGCATGTTTTGGTCTAAAAAGGAAATACCCTTTCGGGATATAAGTAAAGACAAAAAGCTTTCTGGGGAACTGGTGAAAAATAAGGTCACATTTAGTCTAAATACTGTGAGTTGAAATGCTTGCTTTTACTAGGTGAGGTCCTTAATTCAGCAACTCGTGAAATGTCTCTGTAAATAAAACTTTCTAAGTTGCTGTGTCAATATCAGAGACTTAGACATGTACAGAGAAGTGTACCTGTAACTGCAGAATTTGTTCTGTGGCTGTCCTACCTTGCCTGATGTCAGTAAGGCTCTGACTCTCCTTTTGTTTTTTTAGAAAAAGGGACTGTAAATGTTCTGAGAAGCTTCACTGAAGTAACTGGCACAATACCATTTAAACTTGCTATCTGTTTTGCTATTGCTTACCTTGAAGCATGTGTACATATTTATAGAATAATATGAAATCCCATGTTATATTTTTAGATATCGAAATTATCTGAAGACTACTTAGCATTGCAACAAAAATTAAATGAAATGATATTGTCACATCAACTAAGACCGGTGATGCTATCCAAGGATAAGCAAACTAATGTCCAACTTTCTTCTCGTGTTTGTCAATCAGGTAATGTTGAATCTTCATATTTATTAGCAGGGCTTTCATATGAGAACATGACTCAAGAAATGGCTCCTATTAATGTCTTTAAATGCCAGGGAACTAGTGGATCAGCTACATCTGGCTTCTCATGTATTCAGATTGTTTAACTAACAAGCCTCCTATTTGTATTTGGCCAACACATTTTCCAGAGAAACAGGGAAGCCCAGTTGGGATTCAGAAATGAAACACCCATCATTGGTAACTTGTTTTAAAGCTTTTTCAGATGAATGAATGAATTTCATTCAATGTCAGACTTTGCCCAAGCATCTCTACAAATAGATCTTAAAAAAATGAATTTTTAAGTCAAGTGCTTTTCAAAAATTTGTCATATATTCTGAACGAAGTTATATGCAGAGATTCAAGAAAGTTCATTGAAACTTCTACCTCTTTTCCATGTTGATGGATATGATCTTTAAATTTACTAACAAGTATATATTAGTTGGCATAGTTCCTATTCTTAAGAGGCTATGGCTCCTAAGAACACACTCTGAAGTTATTTGCGTTCCTGTTACCATCGGCAGTGAGGGCTCCCCCAGTGTAACCAGTCTTGGAGCAGGTTAGGTGGTAGTGAGAGGGAGGATTGAGATGATAGAGATGGAAGACCTCTCATTCAGAACATGCAGTTCATCAAGACCTGAGCCCTATGGAGAGGTCTGCAGTGAGCTGACTAAACTACTGAAGCCTTTTTAGTTAGAACAGACCTAACGGATGACTTTCTCGGCCTGTATCGAGAGCCATAGGTATAGGGGAAGGCAAAGGCAGCCATGGCAGCTGACTTGGTACAGCCTTATAACTGGCTGGCCCAAAACCCCCTGCAGCAATGACACTTCCTGGCCTCTGGGAAAGAGCTCTTCTCTCTTCTGTGCAGCTCTGATTGGACCCAGAATTGCCCTCACTGTACAAACCTAATTCATTATAACATTATAGATTTGGCTGTCATGTCCTAAAACTTCCTTCTGTTCCCATGGCTAAAATACTTCACCCTCCCTTTGTGGTCTTTTCCAATGTCCAAGCTGCTAAAATGAGGGCTTGGTCTTAGCAAAATCTAAACCTCTAAGTGTAAACTGTGCTTTTTAACTCATTTCCAAAACCCAAGTCTATAAGAGAAAACAAATGTGAAATGAAAAAAATGCTGTTCCATGTTTCACTCTAGACATGGAAATATTTGTGTTTATCATTAACAGATTTGTATTGAGTTCTATATTAAAACTTGCTACCTTTGGACCAGGTAAACCTGAGGAATTAAAAATGTGTTCTATCCTACAGAAGCTAGAGAAGAAGAGTAGATAGAAAGAAGGGAGATACAAAAATTTCTGTTTTACCAGTTACTCTCAGTACTTTCTCATTACTTACCAATACATTTTGTCCAGTTCACTTGTGAATGTTAGTACTATGTACAAAATGGAAAAACACCTACTCTTTACACTGCTGCAAATTTAAGTAGCTCTACAGGAGGCAAATGGATTCCATAACCTGCCATCTGTCCATGCAAGTCTACTTAAAGTGGTTGCCAGTCAGCCACTTCCCTTTGTTTTTGAGAATCTCCCACTACTTAACACCTCATTGGTGTCATAATACCTCATTTTTTCCAGTGTCAAGATGTGTCACAGTTCCTCATTGTATCATTTTGAACATGGACATGAAGAGTGTTACTCATTTCTTTGAACCAAGTCAAAATGCCTTTTAAGAAAACGGCAAAACACTTGTTAGCTGCATAGAGGCTAGAACTTTATCCTCATTTTAATGAATAGAAGGAGATACAATTTTTACAAGCTAATGTTGTGTGACCTTAACCAAAGGAGGATTTATCTTTATGTCCTTTCCACGCAAATGTGAGTATGTTGACATGACAGCACTTAGCTCTCTTAAGCACCAGGTATGATCTGTTTGAAAAATCTGGCAAATCACAAGAAATACAAGCAAGCAAACAAAATTTTGCAGGTTTACAGAGAGAGTGCTTTTTATTTTAACTAAGATTCAATTAATTGCCCTTTGCAAAAAATGTCAGCAATATTAACCATAATAACTTTAATCTTTTTGATGCTTCCTGAATGTTTTATAAGAACCCAGAATGTTTGTATTCTTAAAATTAATGTGATGGACCAGTGTTTTGATTTTTATTAAATTACTGCAGGTTAACATACAGACAAGTGCAGAATTTGTAAAGTATTACTTTTACTAAAGGTGAATGCATTTAAAACGGAAGTGTGTGTGGTATATGACCAAGAAGTTATAACTGAACTGACTGCAAATAGATAAATGTGTCATTAAAACAAGGCAATGTAAACATTTTAAAGCATGAAATTGCTTAGCCCAGTCTATCTCGGCCCAAACTGTCTTTCTAGTCAACTAATAGCTTTCTTAATTCTCTGCTGCAATAAGTAAAACCACTCAAAACCCCATTCTCCCACTGCCTTTTGTAGACAACTTTCGCTGTATTCCAGCAGTATTCCACTTTTGCTGGGTCTTGCACGGCTGGTCTGAGTTGAGCAGCCCTAGTTTCTGTTGGCTGTACCTGGCAGTGTTCTGTTCTCCCAAGTACTAAAAAAGACCTTGTGAGGCTGATCATGAGAAATGTAATAAAGATGTGGTTTATGTTTTGGGGTTTTCTTGGGCAGGGGGAGGTTCCAAACATTGAGCCTTAAAAAAGTAAGAAGGAAGGCCTGCTGGGCTCTACTCGGACATTAAGTTCTCTTATTCTACCTAGCCATAATGTGAAGTTTAACTTTCTGCAACCCAGACTGAGTTTGCCAAGAAGTTGCTGGCTCAGCTACTCTCCTTGAACATGAAGGGATAATGGCAGTGACCTGAGTCTTGATTTCTCACATCCCAAACATGCATATTTATAAGTGCTAGCCAGTCTGTTGAAGGAGTTTTCCTGGTGTTGAATGTGAATATTTTTTTTACATTTGAACATAATGTATCTTTGCTCACACAAGAGCAAAACAGTTTCCAGATATGATCACTGAGGAGGATATAGAAGTAAGAGAAGATGCTTTAGTAATACCAAAGCTTGCCTGTGAGCCAGCTGCAACCTAAGCATTATGGAACTTGATCATAAAGCACCACTGTCTCAATTTAAGCAGATGTTTATTATCTCAAACATTATCTAGATAGATGTACAGAATATGTAAATAAAAATACGCCTCTATGCATTTTGGTTGTATTACCTACAAAACTTCATCAGTTATCAAAATTCAGGATTTCTTATTTTCCTCCTGAATGAAGAGCAGTAAGATTGCAGATAACTACATAAAAGAGAATTAAAATAGTGTGCTATAGACTGTCATGATAAAGTGAGCCAGGTAGACATGGTGAGTGCCATACCATTTATTGAGCAGAGAAGAGCCTCCTCGTCTTGTTTCCTGCATTTTGTGTTACAGCACTAGTTATATACTAAAACATTTGCAAAAGAATACACTTTTACTTCATGTTTTCCTTTAGGGCTGCCTTTGCTGACCTAGCCTTATGAAGGCAATGGTTGCTGAGTTTTAGGTGTTCTCTATAGCTGCATCTATTTATCTCTAATTACTCCATAGTTTACATTTATTTATGTTTTCCTCAGTTTCAGTAATTTTTTATGTCATCTTGCAGCTGTAACATGTGACTGCATTTCACAGCTCTGTGGCAGGCAGGAGTGTTTGCCTTCCACCGTGGACTGTTGTTCAGTTTGAGAGCTTAGCAGCTCCGCTGATAAGATATTTTTTATTGCTTCCCTCGAAAGGGGAGGGACTGTGGGGCAGCTTGGTGGCATCCTCTGGCCATCCTCTATAGAAAGGAATTCACGTAGTGCAGGGAGACGTGGCACGGGAGGACCTTGTTGGAGACAGGAAGCCATGAGGCCGGCCAGGTTGCCATCCCTGGTTCCTGCTGCTGCAGGCTGCCCCAGCACTGTTTGATTTACTCAGGTTTTGCGGGGAGCCTTTACAAGGAAAGGGAAGCACTGGCTGAGCAGAGCGGTATTTGCTGGTCTTTCCTCTTTGCATGTGAATAGCCAGTCAGGAGCAGGGCTGAAGGAAAGCAGGGTAGTCAAGTGCTTCTGCTGGCTAGGCCTCTCTGCAATGGTGGTGTCACTCTGGGTACTGTGGCAACCAGCATGTAGAAGGTCTGTCTTGGGAACTGGTTAGATCCATGGCAGTGCATAGCAGTTAGGATGTCACAGAAGTGCTCAGAGGGGCTGGTAATACCCAAGCATGAGAGACTGAATGTTGTTACCTCCTCCTGGATGCAATTGGAAAGGTCTCAGTCCCACAGTCCTAGTACTAGATCTGTACCAGAATAATCCCTCTGATCTTTACAGATTGCTAAATTCTTGCACCCATCAACAGTAATTTCCAAATCCTACTTTGGTAATTATCTAGTACTTGACTGCATCCTCACACTATGTATAATTAGCATAGTAAAAAGGTGTACATATATTTTTTGTATGTAAAAGTAGCTGTCAGCTCCTCATTATCAAGTCCTGGAATTCCAGTTACTATGTTTCATTTTTCTGATCACTTCCAAGCTCCTGCTACAAATCCCATACAATCATTGGTCTCACTGTTTTTCTTCCAGCTTTAGTCTGAGACTGGCTGTATGTTTCCTGCCCCCAGAACATGTGAAACATTGCTGAGCCAAACAAGTAGCATTCTATTTAAGTGACCTGAAAATAGGTCTATCTGTTTCTCCAGATGGTCTAATAAATACAGATCTTTCATCACTTAGATGCTTATCATAGTTGTAACCAGTCTTTCTTGAGCCCTCAGTATAAAATCTTCTGTGGTACATTAATTTACATTACTATCCATGATTGCTGGCTGCTCTGGACTGTTGTCTTCCAGGTTATCACCGTATGTCAGAATGTGCAGACACAGTTTGACTTAAAGGGCTGTTGATACTGACTCAACTTTATTCAATCATCCTTTGCTCATACTTGACTTTTGTGGAAAAAAAAAAGAGCACAAGCTCACCAGAGTTTCTTTAGAGTTTCAGTGATAATGTTCACATCTTAACTGTAAATGAGCCAGTCCTAAAGTCTGTTTTCTCTTTTCTCATTTGTGTTTCATTCCTTCTTTTTTTTTTTAATGTATTTTGAATTTTCAGTGAGGATTGAATAGAAAGTAGTCATAGCTACTGTAATTAAACATTGTACAGTCCAAATGTTTGTGCACATTATGTAGGAATATTTCAGAGGAGGAATTTAGCAAAACTTAGCAAAGTGACATACTGACTGGTGGAATGAGAATGGATAGTCCTAGCCTGAAAGGAAGAATTGTGCAGCCCCTAATGACATTGCATGATGCAGAGAAGTGTAGTGTCAGTCCCAAGTGGGAAAGGAGTAACTCACTCAATCACTAGCAAACAGCCATAGCAGCAAGAGTTTTAATCGAGGTTAAAGCACATACTTGACACTCTAGGTATATTCTTGGCTGGAATGGTGACACCGAGTAGTGAGCTGCAGTGGCATCACTAACTCAAAGCTAACTCAGACCTAAGGTCTGCTTTGATTTTTGTTAGGTGATACCATTTTCCTTAGACATGTAAACTTTCTTTGATATTACCTGGCAGCCACATTGTTCATATGCCTTAGCTGACTGTATGATTAGTTCATGGTCTTAGAAAATGATCTCACTTACATTAAACTCATCATCATTACTTGTTGAAATGCATGTTTTGATGGGATACTTTGGATCTGGTCAAGAGAGAGATGTAACTTCTTGGGCATGGATTGGACATACACTGTTAGTAAGATTCAAAAGACAAGGATCTTCGTCGCTAGGGCAAAACCTCTTTGTACTAACTATGTGCACTTGCAATTTGAGCAAAATCTTTCTCCCTTTCAACTTGCTCATCCTCTCTTTGTATTACCAAAGTTTACAAATACTAATAAAGTGTATAGTATCAGGTGTTCTTGTTTCTAATTTCTCCTCATCTAAGCATTGTTTCTTAGGCAGGTGAGAATGCAGTGCCAGCAGCCCCTGTTCAGTTGGATATACCTAAAGGGCATGGGCTGACAGCGGAGCTGGGGAGCTCAGCGTGATGCTGCGCTCCAGCTCTGTGGCTGTGTTAATGGCTCACTGTGGCATAATCTGCAGCAAGCCTCAGTGCTTGCTTTGTGCATCTCATTTATCCTGCTAGGGTAGAGATAACTGTGCCAATCTGGCATTTCAGAAGTGCTCACAGCTTCTGTGGCAAGAATTTGTTTTTTCTTTTTGTTTTAATAATTGTTGCAGTGTATGTATTTAAATGTTTGCTAGATAAAAACGCTCACTTTTCCTTTAAAATATAAAGCACCATCTTCCACAGATACTTGGAGCTTTAGGCAAAAATAGACTATGAGGTAATTTATTGGGTTCCAAAAGAAACTTCTTTGTAATGGTCTGCAGAAGCACCACAATTGGCCTATTAATAGGTGAATGATTTTAGTCCTACTTTCTGCTTCATTGCCTACTGCAGAACTGTATGGGCCATCTGGAAAACAAGCTCATCCAACTCACCATTTATCCAGCACAGATATCAAATTTGTTTTCTACCCTTAAACCTGCTAAGTAAATTTCTGGTAGTATCAGCAACTAATAAGGAAGCAAATCTTTATTTGTGCAGTGAGGTATCCAAAACTACAAGTTCTACCACGTCCATTTTACTTCAGTAACAATGAACACACAAATACAAGAGCAGAAGGAAATCACAAGCTCACTGTCTGGTGAAATAAAGAAAACTAAATCCACTAGTGGTGAAAACTACTAATTGCATACTGCGTAATTTGAAGAAGAAATTCAGAATTCCGTTTTCAGCCCTCTGTGCTATTTTGGAAAGAAATGGCAAATCCAAGTGTAGAAGGATGGTTGATCCCACATAGTATTTCTGTCCCCTCGGTTCTTTTGCATAACTTGTCCATATGTAAAAGGCATGAGGACTGTTAAAAAGCATTTTTTTTCTGAACTTCTTGTCCTTGTCAAAATGATTTTTTCTGAATGTAAGAAGAGTCTCATTGAAGAGCAAGTATGCAAAAAGTATACAGCTGATTTCAGTTGAAATAACTGAAATCTAGAATATGAGAATGCTTTATGTGCTTGACAGTGATGAATTAAATAACATAACAGCATACATCATAGTGAATTCATAGGGGACAGTAAAAAGTGTCTAGGTATTATGAGACCCTTTTCCTTATGCATTTCTTAGTGCCTCCAATTTAGTTACATTTTCCTTTCTGTTTTCATGCAGTTGTAATATCTTTAACACAATTTTTGAAAATGCCCCACAGTCAAGGGGTTAGTGTATCCATTTAATTACACTGAATCGATGCTCATTTTAAGCTACTGTTTCCAAGTTAGGCTCCTGTTGTGTTTAAAAATAAAGTAGGAAAGGCTTGCCTCTGTCAGAAATGGAAACCCAGATAATTCCAGGTGGTCCATTTAAAATGCAACAGAACAACAACAGCCCGTATAAGAGCACAGTCAGACCCAAGATATACCATTTTGAATGAAAGAATGTAATTTATATTTAATACAGGTTGATGAAATGAATTTATTGCATCTAAATTCATTGTTTAATGTGAATTATTTGTATCCTACCTTAAAAAAACACTGTTGTTCTCTTAAATGCAAAATGTTAAAAGGTACTTGTTCATTCTTTAAATGAGAAACAGTCTGTGTTTGAGATAAGAAACTAAAACAATAAATGTAATCATTATCCAACTACAGTTTAAATTAACATTATTCATCCTGGCTCCTCAGTATATCCATGACCTTTACAAGCCTTTATTTATCACACATAACAAAAAACTTACATAGCTAATTTTGCAGGAGCCAACACTGATGTATCACTGATCGTTTCTCATTTTAAATTATTGTGCTCTGCCCTTAATTAAAAAGATGTCTGATGTACATGGGAGAGTTTTTAATTTTACAGTGTAAAACAGTTTCTGGTAGCCATGTTAGAGCAAAATACAGTCTTCTCTCTGAGACACAATCACATATAGTTAGCACATCAGGGTTACAGAGACAAAGTCATTCCTTGCAAAGGAGGAGTAATCAATAAAATGCCCTTCAATAATTTTTTGAGAGCTAGGTCTTTATTTCACTCATACCGTATTCATTTTTGAGTCAGAAAACAGCTTCTCTCATGGAGTCTCACCTAAATATTTCTGTGATACCGCAAGGACAGTCTAAAACGTCATTGAATTATGAAATTCTGTTATGACGTACAGCTCACCATGCTTGTGATTTCCCTCATCACCTTATTCATGTCCCTTGTGACCCATCTCTATCGTAGTGTTCTGCTGTCCTGTAACTCCCTCTTCCTTCATCATGAAGGAACTGCCACATCTCTCTGTTAACTTCTCCCACAGTTGAAGCTGAATGTCAAGAAGCCAGGCCTACCACTCTGTATATTCATGATCCCTTAGCCCATCCAGAGACCTTTTTATGGTCCCAAAGAATGAGGTATATGGATGCTTGTCTTTCCATGTGAAAATGTGATGATTCACAAAGGATCTCCCTGTGCCTGTATCCTAATGTCAGGACAAATTTTGTGGTTGCTCCTAGTTTACACATTTTTACATATTTGGAGAAAGCTTTCATAGGAATAGAGGCTGGAAGTTGAGGGCACTAAACTAGATTACCCTGAAACCCTCAGACACTGTTACACTGTCTTGCCCAATGGTGCATAATTTTGCTTGAAACAGAACAACTGCAGTAGGAGACCTTGGAGAAGATTTACCCCATAAAGGGGTAGAGATCAAGCTCTTGGGCCAAGAAGGCTTCTGGGTGCTTCCAGCATGACATTCATTACACGGTATGCATCCATGGGGTGGCTGGAACTCGAATAAACCCATTCTCCTTTCCAGTCTGGTCATGGAAATGTCCAAAGCAGCCACTTTCATGAATTATTTGTAACTAATAAAAGCAAATGAATGGATTTTTTGCTCTCTGTGGCAAAATTCCCCTGTTTGTTTTTTGTAAAAGCCTCCTAATCTGTGAAGAAACAAGCATTGCTCTTGTCTGCTTTTTTTACAGTTGCATCCAAAGTAGAGGACTCTCGCCCAAAGCAGAGACCCCCAAGGAGGCCACGGAAGCCCAAGACATTAAATAATCCAGAGGATTCCAGCTACTACACTCTAATACACGTAAGTTGGGCAAGCTTTTGTGGGTTAAAACTGCCAGATAATTCCCACCTAAACTCTTTTAATGGCCTCATTTTCTATATTTCTTACTAATACAGCATAAAAGCTGTGTCCTGCTGCAAGGAGGCAGGCCCCAAAATTCAAGTTCATTTCAAACAATTAAGGTTCAAAATTATCTTGATTGGGGCACCAGGTCAGGCCAGTTTGTATCTCGGTAACATAACATCTATACATTAATTATATGCATAAGCAGCATTTGCACTTTCAACACCAAAGATAAATGCCCAGTCTCTCTAGATTCTTTATAAAGTCATCGGAGAAAAACAGGTTTGTTCAGAGAGCTATTTTGAGTATCTAAATTAGTACATGGCCTTGCAGAGAGAGCAATATTTAAATGGGCTGTATTAGTATGCACAGTGTAACTTCCTTTACCAAATGTGTCAGATTGTGATTATGAGGGAACTGGCAAATACAAACAGCTCAGGAGACTAATAGATTTGAGTATCTCTATATATAGCGCTTGGTCCAAGTTTAGATACCAAGGTCTACTTTCCCTCTTGACTTCAGTGCCCTTAAATATAGAAAAAGGCAAGAAAGTAAGCAGAAAGACAACATAAAAGCATCTCACAAGGTGGTTCCAGAAAAAAAAAAAAGCAATTAAACTCATTTGCTTGAGGTGCATGTATCTTAGTGACCTATTTTAACAGCCAGTGAGAGTCCAGCTAATAAACTAACCGTAGCAATTGCTTCTCCTTTCAACAGAAGGTGTCACCAGGGCCTTTAGGGAGAGTTGTGTCTGGCACAGCAAAAAGAACTAACATGGCTGTATTTTCTTATCATGGTTGTGAAATAACACACCTTTGGAGCAATGATATTCTGAAAAAGAAATGGTATTCTTAAAAAGAAATTGGAGTGTAAGAATAAGCTTTCTTTGGGGAAAACAACATTGGTGAGATTAAGGGCTGAAATGAAAGGCATGAGGCTGAATTCTGCAAATTTCTGAGAAGTAATTATAAAGTAAATGAATATTTATAAAGCAGAGGTTTTATGGTCAGAAAGATAGTATTTTCATAGTATTTTGTGAAAGCAGATTTGCTATTTGGCCAGCTGCTTATCAGAAAACAGCCATCATTTCAGTCATACTACAGAATTTTGCTAACAAAAATTTTTAAACAAATTTTTAACCAGACTTTTTCAGGATATTCATCAACATCATTTCCAGTTAGCTGTGTTTTGCAGAAAGCTTGAAAAAGAGAAGTCTTGTCTTCCCAACACTAAGTCCACTAGCAAGGGGAAGAAACAACGAAAGCTTCTAATAAACTTAACCTTAGATGGGGAAAGGGGATCTCCCAGTTATTAAAATCCTGCCTCAGGCAAGTCGCTGAGCTCTATCCTGAGATGGCCGGGGCTGGGCAG